GACGAAGCAAGATAAATGTTTACCTAGGTACTTCAAAAAAAAACATTTGTATTTAAAGTGCAATCTTGATCAGACAGCAAACATTAGCAAAGATAGAGTACTTAACAYTTTAGTTAGGAAGTAGAAGCGATTATAAATTGGGCATAAAAAAATGTTAATCATTTTTAAATTTTTAAATTCTTTTAAACTTTTAAATTCGAATAATTGCCATTACATTATTAGGTAAATACAAAATCTTGGATGACGTCTGAATTTTTAATCTGCAGTTGATGAAATTAGGTTTAAAAAATGGTTGCCGAGAAAAGGGAAAACTTAGTATTGATGTTCATATTGATGATTATACAGCACACAATTTAACTTATAAGTACATGTGATATTTATAAATATAAATTTGGATTTTTTTGAAGACAAAATATTATATTAAAAAAAAAAATGAATATTTTTGTAAAATCTTGATAGTTCAAAATTTTTTGTAAAACGAATTTTTTTGACCACTTGAATTTGTTTTAAACTGAGTTACTAATAGTCGACTGTATTATTAACCATCCAGATAAACATATTGATAAATAAAAAAATAGTAAAATATACAATATAAGTAATGGAAATACTTACCAGTTGCCACTGAGGATATCCTCTTATCGATGAGTTAGGAGTACTGTTAAAAATAAAATTAACGTATTTTTTCCTAATATGTTATTCATAAATACAGTAAAAAAATGTTAAATTTGACCAAAAAAAAAAAGTTATATTATATAATGATACAATAATATAATATGATAATACAAATATCAATTATAACAAATAATCATTCSATCATATTATTACGTATTTCATTGTTTTATACTCTATATTGGAGATATAAGTTATTTGAATTATTAATTAACTATATTTTAATAGATTATTTTTAGGTATTAGATTTACGTAAGATTTAAAATTAAATATTAATATAAAATAATTTTAATAGAATTGTATAAAATAAATAAATTTAAGCCTCAGTACTTGTGAAAAATATCCAATTTAGTGCTTAAATTGCAGGGATCGTGAGAGACCGAAGTACTTCTTCTTCTTCTTAAAAAATATTTTATTGTTTTGGTGTACCCTTTATACTTATTACTTACCTTAATCAATAAGAAATATTTTAGCATCCCTCTTTTATTTCTTTGTCCAATTCAAACACTGATAATAATGATATCTATTAAAAGCATCACACGTTCACTACGTTCGCTATAGATAATATTATTTAACACACGCGTACTGAAGCAACAAATCTTCACGCATATTGCCTATATTAAACTCCTTAAAAACGATGCAGTTGGATATTAGTATACTATGTAGTTATAAAATAAAAATGCCTTATTTGTCATGCCAAAAATAAAACCATAGCAATAATATATGTTATCGATCTGATATTGAGTCAGTGTTTCATATTTAAAGATTTTGTATTGTTTTTCCTTTCTGTGGTCCGATATTGACCAGAATATTATATTATAAGAAACAAATAATAATAAAACGATTATTTTTACGGGRCATAACATTCTCGAAAATTTATGTAAATCTTAGAAGTAGGTAGGACTAATAAGAGATCACGAAAATCGATTGTTTCCAATCATATATATAAATTAAAAAAATTAAAAAAATGATCCACTTAATAATTTACAGTTAAAAAGGTGGTGATTCCAATTAAAAAAAGAAAATGTTTATCTCGGGATACTCATTAAATAATACAAAATATTCAAGAATTTTTAAAATATATCTTTGAGTATATTCACTATTTAAGGAAAAAACGGGGATGAGCATACTTAGTGAATATTTATAATATAATATCTATGAGTATTTAAAATGTTAATTTAATAATTAAAAAACAATTCTGACAACATGATATAATTGATTATTATTTAATATTTACTAATTATTGTAAAACTTAAAAGTGCAAGTTTTAATGTGCAAGAACGGCATATTACACAGTTAAGTAAAATGTATTGCGATTACATGTACATTTACGGCATAACTACGTATATAGAAACTAGCAAAGTGAATTGGCGCTCTTTGATAGTTTTTTTTTACTTGAAATATGATGAGTCATACAAGCCGTATTGATCTCCAATTTTAAAAACTTCATTTTCAGAAGTTGCAATAACGTCTAATAATMACAAGTTATTTATTGTTTGAAGTTAATTAAAAATTAGATAAGTACTAATATAATTTGAATAAAGTTTTCTATTTCAAATAATAGATAGAAATAAAAATCTGACTTCACTAAATGATCACTTTTCATTAGGTAGTTTTAAATCGTATAGATTAGATGTATTCAAATTGTGTGTAGCGGCTCACAGARACATCACGACAGTTTGCAAAGGGAGCCGCGGAAATCAACATCATACCTAAGTCTCATATAATTATTTGCAATCATTATGAAAATGAAAACGACACGCCTTACGACGCGACCATTTGAAGTTTTATTTCTAGTACTAAAGTCACTGTTATTATTACCCATATAACACACGCCATATGAATACAATATCATGCGTTGTTTCAATTTTTTCAAAATATTGTGAACACCCAAAGGAGCCGCGGGATGAAAAAGTTTGAATACCTCTGGTTTAAATGTTATAATTTGATTTTCCTGTAAGACCTCTCAATGGCCATTCGCTTGGATAAAACTAGAAATTGCCCACAATTTACCCCTTAACAAATATCTTAGTTAAGTTAGTTAAGTCAGTAGTAGTAGCAAATAGTTAAGTTAGTAGTTCCGACATCCTTACTAATGTTTAAATTTTTAAATTTTTTAAATATGTTATTTTATTCATACTCCAATTTTTTTAAAGATTATGCATTAATAATCATTCGAATTTAAAATCCAGCTCAGTAATTATTGGTTCTACGTTCGATCATCAATTATTGTTCAACTGTCCAATGTTTGGCAGAGCTTGACAATAGATTCTATCATATAAGTTCTTAAATACTAATCATTATAAAGTCAACTAACTTATTTGTAAGCTTTAATCATTACAGGAAATTAGTTAATTCGTTAATCGTAAATATAATAATTTATTTTAATAAATAATATTATCATGAAGAAAATATTATGTAAATTTTCCACTTGATTCTTTCGTAACCATCAAGGTCGTACAAGATTTGAAATTATTATATTTTTAAAAGGTCTTAAGGCTTTCATTCCATTTTTATAACTTTTACAAGGTATAATTAATTACTACGTCTCATGAAATGGGTGGTTAGGTGCAGTTAATAAATAACTTACATTTAGTCTTACAAAAAACACATCACGGCGCAATATATGCAACACTGTGGCTTGCATTCAAACAACTAAACACGGTAGGCGTAGGTTTGATGGTATTGGAACCGGCTATTTATTGAAAAGAAAAAAATGCAGACAGTTGATAGTTATATGATCGTAAAACATTCTGTACTGAAGAAATAACAGCAAATAGTTTGTAAAACCATTTCGACGATACAAAAAATTCATGATAAGAAAAACGATCACGACTCGTACAATAATATAGTTCCGGATATTGATATTGATATATGGATCATTAAAAAAAAGGCATAATAACATTAAAATATAATTATATTATCAGTTTTCCCCGTAAACCAAATTTTGAACTATAAAAATGAGTCAGTTCAGATATACTTAACATACTAGTTTTTAAGACATTTAAAAAATGTCGTGAATTCGGTAAATTCAGTGTATAATTTATTATATTGGAATCAAAAAACGTTAAATGTTAAAACGAATACCTAGTTTGGTACGATTAGTACCTATAAGGCTATAATAAATTGTTCAATCAAATATTAATTGTTTAATATACATAAGTTCATTAAAAGCAAAAGTATACCTAACCGCGAGTGTATAAAGATTAATTTCAGTCGCCTCTAATTCACAATTTTGACAGATTCTCATTTTACGAATAATAAAATAAACTTAATAAATTTATTATGTATCCAATTATTCTGCTATATCCATAATAGGTATTCATATTTTTTATTAGATCATCGAGAGGTTTATTTGGGTTTTAAAAAAGCTTAATACATTTAAAGCCACTAATATTAAGAAAAAATAAAACTATTGTTTTTTTTTAAATAAATAGTTTATATTTATAGTTTAGGTTGTAACTTGTAAACGACAACACCCGTGTACATTTTCAATTAATAAATTCAACGGTGACATAATATAAGCAGGTATATGTCTTAATAACTAATAACACAATATTTTAATATTTTAAATGATACACAGCTTATTATATTGTTAAATGTGTTGTCTGATGTTGAAAAAATTGTGGAAAATATCTACAATTAATTTTATATGTATGTATTTAACAGTATACAAACTTTAATAAACTCGATATGTACTTGTAAGCTTAGTAAAAATATTTATTTTTTTTGTTTTGTTTTGTTTTGTTTTTTTTTTTTTGATAATCAACGTCTTTAAAATTTCACAAGAAATAAATGTATTGTACAACTCACTCAAATTATAAAATGATAATAACTATTTACACAAGATTACAATAAAGGTAAAAAATAATGATGTTTTTCATTAAAAAAAAAAAATAATAATAATAATAATAATAATAATAATAGTCCTAATAAAGTCTAAAAGAAAAACATTCTAAACATTTAAATAACAAGAACATCGTATAAAAAAAAAGAATAATAATAATAAACATTATCGACGTAGTAAAATATTTACACGATAAACATATATTATTAATATTAATATTTATCTTAATGATTTTGGTATAAAAATAATTTAGTTGAATAAAATATAAATAATTTGTAATTTCTGTAGGAAAAAAATGCTCTTCTTTTTTGATTTATTACAACAAAACAAAGAGAAATATATATATAAATAACCTTCAGAAATCGAATACTTAGTTAAAATTGAGTGAAATTCCGCGTAACTTCGTTTTGTCCGCAGAAAAAAAATATTTTAAGAATAATAAATAATATGCATACCTGAATATATTATATTATATATTATCAAAATTTATATTAATGTCGTCGTAATGTTAAAAATATTGACGAATTAATCAAAATAATTTAAAAAAAAAAAAAAATGTCCCTCTGTCATCGGTTATGCTGTCCTCGTGGGTTGGCCAACTAAGGGTGGGATTTTGTGAGCGAGGGTACGTGAGTTTAGTTGGCTGATGGTTGCATACAATATCCGCTATACGTTCGGATGTTCTCCTCCGAGTAGTTCTTACTCTGTATCACTCCCGCGTCCGTGTGATGAGACGGACACCCGTGTTCCGGTGGACACTGACACAGCGTGTTAGTGTTGACCTCGTCCACCATCTCCTGTCGCTTGCGCACCGTGAACAGCCGACAAGGTTCTTTACGCTGGCACCGGAGTCGCTGCAAAACGAAAAGGCAATTCCATATTATAAATAARGTAGTATACCCAACGCAAAAGAAAAAAATAAATTATCCAAAACGTTTTCATATATAGTGTTAGAACGTTATAATATTATTACGATATTKTTATATTGTATAGGAAAATCGTGAAGTTGGCTTGGATAAAATTAACTAGGTATAACTTTTTTAACTGCACATTGCATAACTACATTTTTTCCCGCTAATTACCAGTCAGTTACTAAGCCTTTTTACACCAATTTCTTCAGAAGAGGGCTCAAATTTCCCTTAGCCTCGCACACCGAGGACGTCCCTTAAACTTTATCTTTATTATTAATATACTTTAAAATCTGACGAAAAATCATGTAGTGTAGTGTGAATAGGTATACGCGTGGCACATATTCAGTGGCGTATTTTAAACTTTTCTGGGCGTGGAAGGAGGTCCAAAATCRTCTTATAATTAAGTGTCTACTTATATATTATTGTGCCTATATTATAACTATAAAATATGAAGTACTGTAATATATGATAAAATACATTTATTCCATTTTTACTTGTAGCTAAAATATGTAGGTAGGWTACGTCTTATAGGATTGTATTTTGTTTAACTATAATTATATCAATAATTATTAATACTTGGTCACTTATACAAGTATATTTCAGTATTTCTAATAATCATTTAAATTTAATTTTCTTTTTCCATAGTCATTTCACTYCCCTCTCCCTCTAATGGTAAAAAAGGCACTAACTTTATTATATTTTACGCCTATACAAAACATAATATAGATATTGCACGTACAAATATGTCCATGTAAAATATTTTTTTTAATGCAATGGGTCTTAGCTTGGAGAAGTATGTTTACCAAAAATACTGCATAGTATACAGATAATAAACTAGCTATAAGTCTTATGCGCAGCAGATAACATTAAATTCATAAGCATTTAAGCAAATAACGCCCACTGACAAAATAATTAATTATATTTATTACGCGAATATTTTGAAAATATAATGCAGCATTTAATTGTTATTTTACATCATCATTGTCGTCCCCTAGTCGCCAATTTTGTTTGTTACTACCTAAATAATGCTTTAGAACGCCACTAAGTCTATTCAATGGTCCCGGATCCTTTGCGAGAGTTAACTCGACGCCATCCAATTATTATTGTTGTTGTTGTTTTGTAGTTTAGACAGAATACACTGTAGAACAAACGATAAATTCATCAGAGCGGTTCACGCGGGCTCGTATCGGTGACGCTCTTATGTGACAATAATAATTAATAGTATTACGTCCCCTCATGAGTACCTGCAGCGGCCACTCAATGAAACGATGACATTATTTTTCCCTTCGAAAAAAAAACCTTTTGTGATGCTCGGAAGGCGTGCTATTATATTATAACGACACCATTGAAATATTATAATATTTTAATATGGAGTATCCGCGTGTCGGTAAATATAGCTTTTCCGGCAAGTACCAGTACGCTTTGCACCGCGAAACATGATTACTCTGGGGGCGCAGACGTTGAATCGGTTAAAACTTTAATAAACGTAAGCGCACGTGGGAGATAAACRAATTTACTGAATCATTTTACTGAATATATTACTCGAGATGGGCCTTTTACACGAATCACGTCTACTCGATGATATATTGTTGGTTGGATTTGGGATTTGATTTTTGGTCATKTTGATTTCTTATGCTTAAAAAAATATTTGATTTTTAAATCAGTGGTTCTCGACCTGTGTGTCGYGACACAATAATTTGTTGCGGAATTAAATGACGTTTGACGCTAACAATTTCTCTTATTTATATTTTACATGTTAAAAGTATTGATATAATATGACATTATTAAGGCGTTATGGTAAAAACCACACAGATAAGAAAAATTAATAACTGTAAAGATAGTCTCATTCTGAATGTACATAATTTATGGGTTTATAGTTGTTAATTTTTCAAAAACCCATTAATTATTTAAGTGTGTGTTTGGATCTAAACTAGGGTGTCGTCGTAGAAAAAAGTCAAGAAGCACTGCTTAAATGAATAGTCGGCTTCTAAATCACGCATTAGGGATTATTAGCTTGCTAATTATTCATTATTAGATATTTAGTGATTTTTTTATTGCGATTTGTCATATACCTAATTCTCGTACAAATATACTAGGTTTATAATATGCTATAATATTTTATACGAAATATGGGGACGGATAGTAAATATTTTATCGATAGTCAACTAAAAAATAATTATTCGACTGCCGAAGTCTGGTCCTGGAGAGTTAATTTTCATGGTTCAAGATGGCGTCCACTGCGCCTCATGAACCCTCTCTAAAAATCGATTCTTAATTGGACACTTTTTCGACGATTTTAACACACAGTTATACACTAATACTTACGCTTTGCGGGGAACATGCGAACGAGTACTGGTAGCCGATCTGTTTGGACTCGGTCTGGTACGTTTGTCGCTTCAGCAGATAGGCAACCGAACCCTTGGGGCAGTGACAATGGACCGTTTGCAGCGTACCATTTCCCTCRCTGCGCAGTGTCCACGCCATGTCGCGGAAGTAACGACATTTGGGCAACATCTTGATTGGCTCGCATAGCTATATAATAGAAATTAAAATATTAATATCGTTTAATAGTAAGCATAATATTATATTATATCAGGGGTGGCTGACTAKCGACTCTCGTCGTAATCGTAAGTGACTCTTGTCTTATTAAAAAGAAAACCAATGTTTATTTATTAGCGATACGATTATAAAATTATATTTTATAGATTGTAAAAAATTGTCTGCATTTTATAAAGACTAGATAATTATTACATCTATCTAAGTATGATATTTGATGTAAAAGTAAAACCACAATCAAAAGTAATATCCCTTACTAATTATAGTACAAATTTATAGTTTAAGTATAAATCTAGCTCCGAAACTACGATTTCAATCTTGGATTTAGATTAATCGACATCTTCCAAAAAAATCACGTGCTCAACAATTTGCTGTAAAAAATTATGGTTAGAAAATAAATTTAAAAAGCCACGGGATACTCCTAATTTAAATAAAAATCAATGCATATTTAAATATAATCTTTAAACTTTAACTACTAAAATCAAAAAATCTGAATAATTTGAATAAATATGCATCATAAAATGAGAATAAAAGGAGGGGTGACGATGCCTTAGGCAATGAACATATAATATGATGTAGTATAGATGCACATTGCACAGTTGCACACATAATAATATATTATTCGGTGCCGTGGGTTCACATGCGCGTAGATTTAAGCATACAAATCATTAACAGCAGTCGCCAGTCTACATTGTGTTGATAACAAAAACAGGCGGGGAAGCGTACTATACATTTATTTTATTTTTTTCACTTATTGAAATCTTATCGAAATTGAAACGATCGATCAAACGGAATGATTCTGACGGGTCTGTTATTCGTTATTACAATACTGTGCGCGTGATGCACACACATAATATAAACTATATAATAATATATTATACATGATATAGGTATATTACAATAATGTTATAGTTATAGTATTATATTATGGGATATCGGCGGCGCACAAGGCGCTTTCGAGCTGAGTAGCGAGCGAGCGCGTAAGGCCCTTAGCCGCGATGGATTTTCATATTTTATGTTTCTTTAATCTCTCTTTTTTCCTTTTTCTTTTTTTACCTTGAACTGCCTCGTTTTGTCGGTGATGGTGTGCCCATCAGCCGGCGACAGCATTTGCGAGCACGGCGGCACGCCCGACGGACACCTGCACTGCCTCTCCACCCACGGCCATTGATACATGTCCACCTTGCTGCACACCGCCCACTTTTCGCACACCGGCAACTCTTCCTCCGAGCTCTGAAAAAAAAAATAAAAACACAGATGCGATTATTACACGTGCGTCAAATTACGAAACGCGTACCTACCTATAATATATGTGGTAAGGATATATACAAATTAATAACGACAACATGACGACGATGGAAATAAAATTAGTAAACCAGTCGTATCATAACAATATTATTATGATACGCGCGCGCGTAGGGTCGCACCCACTTGGTGTGGAGAAATTTCTTATGAAATTGCAATATAGATATGTACCTCAATACCTGTATTATATTATTAACATCATCATTATTATGTGCGTGTGTGTGTCCATATAATATTACAATACCCACCCAGTCCCGAAATAAATAGAAATTATAAAATGGACTATTAGAATAATACTATGTTTAAGTAGTGAGCGCATACGACGTAATAATTTAATATTGTAGTATTACGATGTGAGTGATTTAACTTCGCGTGGTGAATGGTTMAGTTGATATGGTTATTCTATTAGTTACGTCATAGTTCTGTTATGATTGGTGATTTTGACTGTTTTTATACGGTATTTTAATTTAGGTATATCAATTTTTTGCCCACCTATTGTTTATATCACTAGAACACTAAATTGATTTTCATACAGTGCAGTTATCTGCGACGATCAGTAAGTTATGATGTCATCGAATAAGTGAAATATTCGTGTTTAATTATTATTTCATATATTTAACGATTCGATCAAAACGTTTATCGTAAAAATACAGACGTCAATGATGGTATAGCCTCTATAATAATATATGAGATAACATACGTATTCATCTATCGTATCTACTAGTTACTACAAACAAATCATATTATGGATATAAAAAAAAAAAAAAAACTGCTAAATCAAATCTTAGTCGCACGCGATATTAAACGTAAAAAAAGATGATTAATTTATTACACAATTTAGAATGTACTGTCACGTGTTATAATATCACTTATACAGCAATTATTGATGTTAATGAAATCTGTTTGTCATTTATCACAAATAGTTCATTTAAACATCATTTTTTTTTTCTATAATATTGTGGCGTAATAATTTGCTGCGCATGACAAGTTACAACAACAGTCAGTATTATTATACAGAAATGAGATATATGCATATATAAAGTACATAATAATTAATAATATTTTTGTKGAAATTATTTRAACTATCTATAGTAGGTACTATAAAAATGTATTCAAAACGTGTTTTCTACGAGATAAAAAATAAGGTGACTTAATGCATTTTTTTTTAAGTAGGTCATTATTTTCAATGTTGTCAAGATTATCAGAATACTTTATGTAACCACTTTGTCATTCTTTATATTTTTTGATAAACTTTGGTGCCAATTAATACACTATCTTAGTCGATATTTCATATCACAACTCGTCTAGACGTGTGCGCAGAATTACAATTGTAGTGCATCACATATAGGTAAMTACTTTAAAACGACCCATTGTTTGTGATAACCTTTTATGAATGTGCTAGGTGATAATACTAATGAGTGTAAGATTTTTCATAAAAAATAAACATTTATTAAAAACTATGGCATGTATCGACGTGGCTGCATCTGTGTGGTATATTTTTATTTTGGCCAAATACATATCTTTATTAAGTATTCACTATTCATAACCGATATTCGTAAGAGGCGAATAGCTTTTATAGGAATCGTTATAGTACCTATTGACTATTTAAGATTGTCGTAGCAAGTACAACCATTATACCACTCAATTACAATCGGTCTTTAACGGTGCCCAAATAGAGTAAAAGTACAGTTTAAAGTTCTGAAATTTATTATTACCATTTAATTTGTAAAAATTAACRACTGAATAGYAAGGACAACATMGATATATTATGTATCTAAATATATAATTATAATATTTATTAAGTTATTTGCCGCGATCGACGACCGAAACACTCCACCGAGAAAGATATTTGCCCATTTGGTAGTATACAGAAAACAAGTTATTGAATTTCCAACTCGTAACATTCGTCCAGTATTATAATTTATAAGACATTTGGATTAAGAAGAAGACACCACGCCGAGGTTTATTATCTCGCTGTCTCTCTCCACACGTGTAATCTTATGGCGTGAAATCGAGTTGACGTAGATGAGTCAAAAAAATTATCTTTTTTTAAACTAAATAGCAGCTAGGTATTTTACACAGAATTAAAAGAATATGGTATGATACATTTTTAAATTAATTATGTGCAATATTTATTTAAATTAAATAGTAAAATAAACAATAAAATTATAAAGTGTCTACGAGTAGAGTTACTAAAATACTATTTAAATTTCTAAAAACTCCATATAATATTATTATCGAAGACCATATTTATATGCCTATAAATTATTGTATTATTATACCATATTATATTATTAGGGTTCTATATATTACATTTTAGTATTCATTAACGGAATAACCAAACGGTAACAACAAACAATAGATGCCATTGTTTTAGGTATGCCTATATATTAGTGGCCAGCAACCTTTGTGGRATCTTTGGCCATATTCAAAAATTAAAAAAGTTTCACGGTCCATTTTGAACAAAAATAAAAATGTTAAAGTCTTATTTGAGAGAACGTTTTAAAACACCTATAAATATAAAATGCGTGTCGTATGAAGTACAAGCCTGACGTGGCCTGCTTACCAAAGATTCATGTGACATGCAGTAAGTTCGTTTATATTGAACGTAGTGAAAAACGTTGTAAGACATAGTCATCACTCAACATGTGCAAAATTAAAAGATTTTACAGCACGTGCAACACTATTCCAACATTATGTAAAATCGYGATCGAAAATAATAACAATAATAATCAGACAAAATATGCTTAAAATAAAATATATCAATATAAAAATATAATATGTGCTGTCATTTAATTTTAGCTGTTTCCATACACATGTTGTGTATATAGCGTTTGTTCATACAGAATAATAGGCCGTGTTAATTGTTATATACTTGTCTTCTCCAGTGTGATTGCGTTGAGGAGATGACATGAACGAGTGCAAGGATAGGAGAAAACCACAGAATCTAGATTTCGTTAAAGTACAATGAGCTTTCGTATAGTAAATAGGTGAATGGGTAATGACTGTATGCGATATTATATAACATAGACATTAGACAATAGTAACTGKCTATTTACATAATAATAATAAGTATAATATAATATTGTATTTGGGTTATTATGTATTTTTAGTGTGAGCGAAAAAAAATAAAAATAGCTCACATGATCAAAACGATACGTTATGGTATATAATATAATAAGCTCTCATGAATAAWGAATAAAAAATAATAAAATGTATCAATCTCCGTACTTATGTTATATGATATGTATTATGTGTGTAATATATGCACGTAGGTATAGGTAAGTGTACAAATCGTTTGTTATTGTTATCATATTCTTTTTATTTGGTTCTATTCAAAGAGAGCATAAATTGTAATTACAATAATTTTGTAGTAGAAGGATTGTATTTATATGTATATATTGTTTCCTCGCGCTATTTTTGCGTTGTAACTTTTACCATAGACGATAATATTATGTACTTATACAGCGAACGCACCGTATTAAGATGATAATATAGATAGAAAACCACACGTAGCACTAACTACTTTTTTAAGTTTTTTAACGATCAAAATATTATTACAATATATACGCATGATATAATCAACGTTGGCACATTATGATTAATATGTGACTCAAATTATTATTATTATTAAATACGTTTGTCACCGAAAACGGCGGTGGCGCGTGTCGTTTTAAAAATTGCATATAATTCGGTCGGACATCCGCACCGCGAACACGTTTTTACCAACAAACAATAATATAATCATAATATTATACTGTTCGACACGTCGGTAAAGTTTGTAATTGTTATTCGAAGTGTTATTTTCTTTTTACTCTTGTTATCACAATAATAAAATATGTCTCAACATGCATACGATAAGTTACCGTAACGTCCGTAACTGTGCATACTACATATTATATTGTATACGAGGTGACTACTTTACTTTTCTATATATCTAAAGAATTTGAAGTTGGCTTTCTCTATCTCTGAAAATCAAATTTTCGTGGATTTGGATTGTTAAAATCAAAATAAATCTCACTTCCTATTCCGTCAATAGTTATAGTTTACACAGATAATATAATATAATACAGACCGATTCACGTCAAACCCTATATTACCATAAGTAACCTATAAAGTAGAAACCACGAGCCACCATATTTTAAAGTTGTTTGCACGGCGTATACCATTAATGATGTAAACTTCAGAGAGGTTATGTATTATGCTTATTCCGGTTCCGTTGCAATTAAATAAAAATAAAAAATGTCGATAATAATGACAATTTTACAATAATATGACGACGTCGTATTTGGCGTCGAAACGTGTTACGTCATTGCATTTTGTTATTGCACATGCACATTTCCGTGCGAAACTGCGAAATGTACGCGCTATTAATTTTTAGTAATGTTTTTTKTCCACATCGAAATTMTATCGTCCCACGTGACGTTATTTGTACACGGTGATGGTGACATGATAATATATATTATATTATGCATTATAAATGTATATATTTGTGCATACACTTGCGTCGTTATTTGGTGATTAAAATTTGATTTGGCACGATTTTTTACCTAGTCCACCCCCTTAAAAAAAATTGATCGCATCGGCCCTGTTGGCATCAATTCAAGTATTCGACACATCTGCGGCGCAAGACGCAAACAAATACATTGCGCAAAAAACACACAAACACACTCACATTATACACGTTATATAATAAATATTAAAATTGTTTATCATATTTATATACGCACGTGCATTACGAGGGACTACGCGATGCTCGTGTATATCTAGGTATTAGGTATATCATTAAAATATTTGTGCATTGTGCACATAATATGAAACTACACATATTARGTATATTGACATATTGTACCTATAATTTTTATAATATACCTATTTACGATATTTTATTTTTATCAAACTAATGCACCATGTATAGTCAGTAACGG